AAAAGACCACCAGAGACCAAGATTGATGTAAGCAGCAAAGAGGTGTTTATTTCGAGCTAGCTCGGTCCTCCGCGCACACACAGCAACTAGTGACACTGAGAGGAATCTTTTCACCTTAAGGAGCAGACCAACTGCCCTCTCTGCCTTTTTTGTTATGCCTCCCCTCACCTCACAGATGGAAATGAAGAACTGAACATTCAGTATCCAGAAACAAGCAACTTCAAATTTTCCATTCATAATAATCTGAAAATAAGATTCTTGTGAAGAGAAATGTCACTATGTTGTGAGGGATGTGCCAAATAAGTTCATAAATTAGTATAATGAAACACATGTTTCTTGTGAATAGAAAAAATCACATTTTGGCAAATCCTAGCGGCACATAAATGCATTTTATTGCAAATGTGATTATGGACATTTACTGTTGGGGGATTTTCTTAATTCTCAGTATGCAAAGATTAAGAAAGAGAAAAAAAAATGTTGACTGCTGATGTTGATCATGAAGAAGAGCAGCTGGACACAGGGCCTGTGTGTTGAGGTCACCTCAGTGATGGGTGCTATTGGGTCATTTCTACTCTGTGGAAGTTAAAAAACAAAAAGATATACAACTTGTCTGTGTGTGTGTGTGTGTGTGTGAGTGAGTGTGAGTGAGAGAGAGATATCTTTAAAATTCTTTTTCTGTTCTAATTAGTTATACATGACCATAGAATGCACTTTTGATACATCATATATAAATGGAGTATAATTTTTCATTCTTTTGATTGTACATGAGGTAGAATTCCACCAGTCATATAGTTATATATGTACATAGCATAATAATGTCTGATTCATCCTAGTATCCTTCCTCTGCCCATACTCTCTCCCCTCCTTTCATTCCCCTCTACCTAATCTAAAGTAAGTATTCTTCCCTAGTCCCCCTGACCCCTATTGTGAATTAGCATCCACATATCAGAGAAAACATTTGGCCTTTGGTTTTTTGGGATTGACTTATTTCATCTAATATGATAATCTCCAGTTCCATCCATTTACTGGAAAATGCCATAATTTCATTCTTTAAATCTGAGTGACATTCATATATATATCTTTTTAAAATTTATTTATCTATTTAAGTGCATCTCAGTTGGTTCTATAGTTTAGCTATTGTGAGTTGAGCTGCTATAAATATTGATGTGTCTGTATCACTGTAATATGCTGATTTTAAGTCCTTTGGGTATAAGCCGAGGAATGGGATAGGTGGGTCCAATGGTGGTTCCTTTCCAAGTTTTCTGAGGAATCTCCAGGTGGATCAAAGACGACGTGGGGGATGTGAATTTCCTTTTAGAAGTCAGTTCCATTTGAAGTCTGGTTGGGGAAAAACAGGTTGTCATCTGAGGATGGGTGCTTCATACAACTTGGGCACTAGACCAGAGACCCTGCATCTAATAGAAGAAAAAGTAGGCCCAAATCTTCACCATGTTGGCTTAGGATCTAAAGCACAAGAAGTGAAATCAAGAATCAATAAATGGGATGGATTCAAACTAAAAAACTTATTCTCAGCAAAGGAAGCAATCAGTAATGTGAAGAGAGAGCCTACAGAATGGTAGAAAATCTTTACCACCTGCACCTCAGATAGAGCACTAATCTCCAGGATATACAAAGAACTCAAAAAACTTGACACCAAAGAAACAAATGACCCAATCAATAAATGGGCTAAGGAACTGAACACACACTTCACAGAAGAAAATATACAATCAACAAATATATGAAAAAATGTTCAACATCTCTAGCAATTAGGCAAATCAAAACTAAGATTTCATCTCACTCCAGTCAGAATGGCAATTATCAAGAATACAAGCACCAGTAAATGTTGATGATGATGTGAGGGAAAAGGTACACTCATACATTGCTGGTGGAACTGCAAATTGGTACACAACTTTTTAATAGGAAACAGCTATACCATAATTGTTCCTCATGTCCCTTTTTGCTTCTGTTGCTAATTTTGCCTAATTACTTTGTTGCAGGAAGGCTTTTCACTCGTTGATAGCAAGAACTGGTTGAAGATCGTAAGACGCATGGATTGTCTGTTGTTTGGCACAACGATAAAGGCAAGATAAAGTGGGCTGTGTAGCCAACTATTTTTAAGCTAATGATCAGTCTTTTCTCATCTCCAGTGTGTGAATGGTGGAGTATATGGGGCTTCTCTCTGTAGAAAATGGGTGCTGGGAAGAACACACATGTTGAAGAAGGGTTTGCATTGTGAGCCAAACATGAAACTAGGGCTTATAAAGGCAGAAGCCTTGGTAGCAGGAGGATATCTCTAAAGTGAAAGACTTTGGTGGATTTGTCACCATGTGTCAAGTGGAGCTGTGCAACCTTTCTCAGTCCCCCAAGCACAAACCGGGAAGAGATGGCATACAGCATGGGTTGGCTTACTCCTTAGATGTTTTAAAAGGTGTATATAGTTGAATGCTTCACTGAATATGTCTTTTTAGTTTTTCCCTGTTTAATATTTAAAAATATAATTCCCCTTTATTTGCCTTCTAGCTGTATTAAACATAAAGAACGAACCTCATCAAAGAAACATGCAAATGAATCACCTGGATTATTTTCTTTCATAACTATAAAAGATTATTTTCTTTTATAACTATAAAAACCAGTCTGTTATCACTGAGTAAATAATATTGAAATTTATGTGAAAGATACTAATTTTCAACGAATGTGTAGACCTTGAGAATTGAAAGAGGAAGAAGTCTTCAGGTGCATCTAATGGAGGGGTCTTACCCTGGGGTGCACAGACCTCCAGATGGTCCCCATAGAGTTCAAGGTATCCATGAACTTGCAGGGATTTTCACTGACCTCTAATTGAAATTTATCATTTCCTTCTATTTTTGAATTTAGTTTACAGAGCATAGTAGTGTTAGACCTTCCCATCAATGGCCATCACAGGTAATTTCATATCACATTATAGTTATTTGAGATATCTCAGATGTCATTTATACTCATCAAACCTCAAAATTAAGATGGTTATTAGTTCTACTTTTAAATCCTTTTATTGAATATGTTAATAAAGAAGCATATCCTATCAGTTCACAAATTAGTGTTTTAATATTGTGATAAACTAATTTACTATAATTGGTTGTTTTTCTTTGCCTTTTATCTGATTAAAAGCATTGTTCTGAGAAAGATTCACTGTCTCACCAGACTACCAAAGGGTTCTGGGGCACACATTCCAAAACGTTCAAGAACCCCTGTCTAAATTTTACATATGAGGAAACTGAATTAGATGTAAGCCAATAGCCAAGGTTAAGACTAGCTCTCAGGGAACCAGCTGCCCATTGGTCTTCTGACTCTCAGCTTAGGACTGGATGAATGTTTCGGTGTTTTAAAAGTCACCCATGTTCTTTGTTTGATATTTGATTTTTAATATTTTCTAATTCCATATTATTATTTAAAAATTTTTTTTGTACTAGAAATTGAACCCAGAGCCACATCCCCAGTGCTTTTTTATATTTTATTTTGTGACGGGGTTTTGTTAAATTGCTGGAGCTGGCTTTGAACTTACAATCCTCTTGCCTCAGTATCCCAAGCTACTGGGATTTCAGGTGTATGACTCTGTGCCCAGATTATTAAAAATTTTAGAGAAGTATAAAGTGCAAAGTAAAAACCAACTGTAATGTGACTCCTCAAAAGTAACCATTATTAACATTTTAGAATTTTGACTAGGCATACATTAGGACTGTGTTCAGATGAATGTAACAGAAAACTCAGCTATAATGACCCCCCCCCGACACACACACATAGTTCTTTTTTTCACTTAATAAGAAATGAAAGCCAGATATGGTGGCACATGCCTGTAATACCAGCTACTCAGGAAGCTGAGGCTGCAGGATCCTATGGTTGAGGTCAGCCTTAGCAACTTAGTGAGGTCCTGTTCTCAAAATGAAAAATTAAAGGGGCAGGAGATGTAACTCACAGGTAGAGCACCTCTGGGTTCAATTCCTAGTACTATAAATAAATAAATAAATAAATAATTTTAAAATAGGCCATTTCCAGCATTGGTTTAGCAGCTCAGCAGTGTCAAGCTCAATGTCTCTCTCGGCCTGTTCCTCACAGTTGTAAAATGGCAGTGGCAGCTCAATTATATTTCCATTTGAGAAAGGTCAGCATCTCCTATAAGGTTCTCTCCCTCCAGCAACCCCTAGATGTCTGCTATGTGTCTGTCACAGACTGCAAAGACTAGTGTTTAGTTTTTCCAGTCTCTCCTTTGGATTGACTTGTGGCAATTAACAGTGTCTGCCATATACATAATTCATAAAAATAAGATTGTAATATTCTGCTATTGTGTCATATAGCATTAAATCAGGGACATTATATCAAATTATTATGTAGTCTTTAAAAACATTCATAATAGCTGTGTAGCATATTACTCTTTGAATACACCATGATTTAACTAATCTCCAATTGTTCACTATTAAAAATGTTCTGATTTTCATTAAATTTAGAGGGTTCTTGAAATAGAAATCCTAGAAGTATGAACATTTATTTTGTAAATTTGCCCTCCAGATAGGTTGTCCCTGTTTCTACTGCACTAGCTGTGTATAGAATATTCACTTATCCAGATCCTCTCCAAGACAGTGATATAATTTAAATTTACCAACTAGATTCTAATTTGAAGTAGAAATGAGCATATTCCTTTAATTTGCATTTCTTTTGATTCCTAATGAGAGTGAACATTGTTAGAATCTGTACTTCTTCTGAGAATCATCTACTTTTTTTGCTTTAATTCTTAAAAGTATTTAGATACTATGTGTATAGAGTAATCTGCATAGCTATATGTTTTAATATAGTTGAGTATATATCACATATAGATATTTTTAAAATATTTAAGGCTGGAATGGGGAACAACTAGAGACTCTGGAGCCTGAGGCAGGAGGATTGAACGTTCAAGACCAGCCTCAACAACTTAGCAAAGCCCAAAGCAATTTAGTGAGACCCTGTATCAAAGTGGAGAATAAAAAGGGCTAGAGGTGTGGCTCACTGGTAAAACACCCAGGGTTCAATCCCTAGTATAAAAAAAAATTAAGGTTGGTAACCTTTGGCTTATGTTCCTTATCTCAAAAGATATATATCTTTTGAGATAAGGAACATAAGTAAACATACATAAGTTGTTGAAGCTGACCTTAAGAATTTTTTGATGATTTTGTCTGTCCTAGGCTTTGAGGTTATATATATAAGATATATATCCTGGATATTGAGCCCAGGGGTGCTCTACCACTGAGCTACATCCCCAGCCCTTTTTATTTTTGAGACAGGGTCTTGCTAAGTTGTTGAAGCTGACCTTAAACTTGGGATTCTCCGCCTCAGCCTCTCAAGTCTCTGGGATTTTAGGTGTGTGCTATCGCACCGGCTTCAGGAAGTAGATTAAACATTAAGTACAACTCTAGCTGTTGATTGTATATTCTTTACTATGTAAGGGAGATGTTCTTTCAATAATAGTTTATTTGCTAATACTTTTTCAATATTACATATTAAATTTTAGCAAGTGCTTTTTGAGTCTATCAAGATGATATTGTTTTTCCTACCTTTGATCTATTGACTTGATGTCATATAATAATATTAAACCATCAGCTGCAGGGGGAGAGGGGCGGCGCTGGGGTTGTGGCTCAGCAGTAGACCACTTGCCTAGCACGTGCAAGGCCCTGGGTTTGGTCCTCAGCACCACATAAAAATGAATAAATAAAACAAAGGTATTGTAAAAACAAAACAAAAACATCATCAGATGCTTCTTTTTCCCTTACCTGTCAAGGAGTATTTTTGGTGCTTTTTGCCTTGGATAACTTTTAGTTACTAAGTATTATGTAGCACACACTATTGTTTAAACGGATGGATGTTGGAAGCAAAATTTCATTCTTTTAACAGAAGTTTAATAAAACTTAAATTCTGTAGGTAATACACATTATATTTCTTTTCTCTCTGGATTAACATTCATAGATTTGAATAAATTATGTCTTTTAAGGGAGGTTGAAATCACAGATTGAGTAAATTATGGCTGTTTTTTTTTTTTTTTTTTTTTTTTTTTTTWGCAATTCTGAGCAAATAGATCCTGGCTTATCAGCTAATGGTAGACATAATTCTTTATCTGAAGGGCACTTTGGGCTCAAAGGAGTGAACCTAAGCTACTGTTCTCTTTTACTTCTCTCCCCTAATGGCCATTGAAGAATTTTTTGATGATTTTGTCTGTCCTAGGCTTTGAGGATATGTTTCGAAGTAAAGAAAATACTCAAGTTCATCCTCTGGTCTTATTAAGTCCATTTTATATTACTTTAGTTAGCTAACAGTTCTGAGGGTCTAAGACCACATCTGGTGATGGTCCTCTTGCTGTCAGAATCCTGAAATGGCACAGGGCATCACCTAGCAAGACCCAGGGAGCACACACTGTCTAGCCTCTCTTCCTCTTCTTGTAAAGGATTCAATCCTAGGGCTCTGCCCTCATGAATTTATCTAATCCTAATCACTTCCCAAAACACACCTTTAAAGAGCAGTCAGATTAAATGTCCACCCTCTCAATGCCTTGTGGTGGGGACTAAATTTCAACACATGATCTCTTGGGGGACTCATTCAAACCATATCCAAGTCATAGCACTGGTTAAGTCCTTTATTGGTACTTTGCCATGTATTTTCTGTAGTTTAGGAAGTCACCATTAGTGATGAAGAAAATTTCCATTTGGGTATCCTGGTGGTGCTGGAGACGTTATAGATCTAGGTGATGAATCTGAAACCAGTAGAAAAGCCCCTGAGTTTGAGACCTCTGATATCTCCCTTGCTGTTCTGTGATGTAGTGCTACCTGGGTGCTACCTGTATCCCAGGTGCCTGATGCCTGTCAGCCATCTGCTACAGAGGCTGTAGATAAAGCATGCCTGCAGCAGCACATAGGGGCTTGCTCTCTCCTTAAATTGAAGTCTTGGTTTTCTTGTACATGTAGTTAAGTGTAAAAGAGATTGGCACTTGTCCTTAACTTTTGTTTCCTCAAGAAGTCTGTGCAAGGTTAGGGTTGTGGCTCAGCGGTAGAGTGGTCGCCTAGCATGTGTGAGGCCCTGGGTTTGATCCTCAGCACCACATAAAAAATAAATAAATAAAAATATTGTGTCCAACTACAACTAACTAAATAAATAAATATTAAAAAAGAAGTCTGTGCAAAATGGCATTTTCTATAAGTTCTTATAACTTGAAATTAAGTATTTGGTAGTAAGGTGCATACAACTTATCATGTAAACCACAACTTAAAATATAGTAATTATGAGCTGACCTCCTTAGATAATCGAAACTGGAAATTTGGGGCACTTCATGACTGTGGGTATAATTCATTTCGAAGCAAATTGTTCTTTCTGTCTTTTAAGTATTAGTATTACAAAAAAACATCTCTTCAAGCCAAGCAGTCCTTTTGGTTATCCATTGTGATACCCCATGACATTAAGGATGTATGATGAAGATATAACTTGTTTTCAGATTTTTTTTCTGATGTACATTGGCTTTATCTTGGGTCCACATGCATTGAAAGGCGTATTTCTGGCTTCAGATGATAAGCTGAAATTCTGAGAATTTTATAGAAGCAAACATGGAACAAGACCATCAGATATATAACCTCCTACCTTTTTGGAAGTACACTCCAAAGCAACCTTAACTATCCAAACTGATACTTCCTGCCTGGAATCTTGCTCCCTCCCTCCCTCCCTTGCTTCCTTTCTTTCTCTCTCTCTCTTTTTTTTTTTTTTTTTTGGTGGTGGTAGTAGAGGGTGTTGGGCCTCATGCTTGCTAGGAGGGCTCTACCACTGAGCTACACCCCAGCCCTACCAAACTGATTCTTAGTACACTCACATGTAGGTGCCTCTAGACTTACATAATTGGTCTCAGATTTTTTATTCTGTTTATAATTAGTATCTGTCTGCATGTGCATACAAGCTTTTCAGCTGGCTATGAAGTACAAGTTTTGATGTGTTGTTACTCAAAAGGTTAATTAGACAATTATAAAATCCTAATAGATATTAATAATAAAAGCAAACAGATATTACTACAAGCTGAAAGTATAATTCTCTTATCAGTTCTTTTCCCTTCCTCAGGGAAAGTTAGCTTTTAATTACTCTTCATAATTTGGGGATTATTCATCCAAGAGAAAACTGGCTAAGGGTATTGAACAGGCAATACACAAAAGAAAAAAATACAAATGACCAGTAAGTGTAAGAAAAATGTTCAGCCTCATTGGGCATGGTGGCTCACGCCTATAATCCCAGTTATTTGGGAGGCTAAGGCAGAATGATGGAAAGTTCAAGGCCAGCTTCAGCAACTCAGTCAAAATAAAAACAAAAAAGTGGTAGAGTGTCCCTGGGTTTAATCCCCAAAACCAGAGAGGGAGAGGGGGAGGGAGGAGAGGGAGGGAGGAGAGGGGGGGGAGGGGAGGGGGGGGAGAGGATAATTCAACCTCACTTGTAATCAAAGAAACAAAATTTTTATCATCCATGTTGGTTAAAGTTAAAAGGAATAAGAATCTCCAGTGTTGGAGGGTTCAGGGAAATGGGTACATACTTTTAGTGGGAATAAATTGATCCTCTCTTGCTACAGGGCAGTGTGGCATTATGTACCAAACTATGAAATACACATATTCTGTGACCCAGCAAGTCTGCTTTTAGGCATTTATATACAAAGATGTATGTATAAGTGTGCTTAACTCAAAGCTTTTGGTTTATAATAGGAAAAAAGGGTGGAAATAACCTAAATGTTTGTCAGTAGGGGGCCAGTTAAATAAAGAAATACTCTTCAGCCTTTCAAAGTAATGAGGTACACTTCTATTTTTACATACTTATTGTTAAATAAAAAATTAGGTTACAGAACAGCAGTGTGGCTTAAAATATACGTACACATTATATATAACATATATTATGTATTATATATTTTTACATATTTATGTACAATTTTGTTATTATATGTATATAAAACGTGCATGCATATGAGAATATTTCTTTTTCATAGTTTTTTCAGTATCAAAGGGGGTAATGATAATAGATTACTTTTACATGCAAGGAAAAAATTAATTCAAACTTTCCAAAAGAAGCCAACATTATCAATAAAAAGGGGTAGGGACATCTATTCTTCTGACTGTGATACCTTACCATTTCTGAGTCATGCCAAGTGCCCCAGAACCTAAACACATGGCTTTGCTTAATGGATTTTTAAATTATTTGTGAAGTCCTGGGAATTGAATCTAGGATCTCTTCATGTTAGGCAATTCTACACCACTAAGCTACACCCCTAGCCCCTTGATGAATGTACTGAAATAGTATAAATTGTGAGTAGGAAAATCAGGGACTATTTGCTGATAGAAACTTTCAGGATTTCAGTGGCTTAATTAGAAATGTTTTCATAGTAGCAATGTGGTTTATATATTCACTAAGTGAAAAGGACTGTCACTATGTTGATATTGGCACCTGCATTTCTTTACAGAAGAAACTGAACAAATACAGTCCTGTTTGGGGTAGCTTTTATCCAAGTTGACTCATCTACACTAGGCAGAATATTAGCTAGAAAGAGGATACTACTACTAAACTAATGATTCTGTGTTATGTTACAGTTTAGGTCTGTTTTTTAAACTTACAATCAAATAACTTTGTAGTTGGCAGTTTTTACTAAAATTTTAATGGCATCTGTTCACACAGGGACTGGGGTCTTTAATTTGTTGTATGAGTTACATCCCTTGGCAAATTAGCAAAGGGACATAACTTATTTGCTAATTTGCCAAGGGTTGTAACTCATACCAAATTAAAGACCCCAGTCCCTGTGTGACTTGTGTGGTGGTCTGGCCTCCTAAGGAATAAAGGCACTAGAGATTATTTATGACATTTGCCGTCAGCATTTGCCTGTACCCTCTTCTCCAGTACTAGTTAAATTCACTGCCTTGTTTAATGTGGCATCTACCAGGTTTGTGCTTTCATTTTTTCAGTTTAGAAATTTTTTTGTTGAGCCAGATTATACAGCATTATCCTGATTCTCCATTTAAGGAATTTGAAGCTCTAAATTTTGTATTCCAAAGCAAGACAAAGCATTGATCTTCCATTGCAGCCACTATAGTGACCTTCCTTGTCTTTATGTACAGACTTTTCCATTTTTGCTGGTATTAGTTCCCTAAGGGAAATGAATTTCAGTATGAGGAATAACTTCCAGAGGGAGAAGGAAACAAATTTTTGATTTCTCTGTACCTCCACTAACAAGCAAGGATTATTGCTTCCACATGTGCTGTTCTGCCCTTTCCAGGCAAAGGGAACCCACTCACTAGAAGACCCTACAATAAATCAAACTCAAGGTGGGGTGCAGTGGTGTACGCCTGAAATCCTAGCTTCTTGGGAGAATGAGGCAGGAGGATTATGAGTTCAAAGCCAGCCTCAGCAACTTAGCAAGGCCCTGAGCAACTCAGGAGACCCTGTCTCTAAATAAAATATAAAAAAAGGACTGGGGATGTGGCTCAGTGATTCAGCACCCCTGGGTTCAATCCCTGGTACCAAGAAAAAAAAACATGATCAAGTGATACGACAAGGGTCTCTCAGGATAACTTTTGATTTGTCAAACAGAATAAGAGCCGCATGTTTCGCATACAGTTTGGTGGGGAGTCCAAGGAACAAGCGCTGGAACACTGCTGCAACTGTGTGCAAAACCTGTCCCAGTATGTAACTGTTCAGATGCCCGAGGGAATCATTCAAGAGCTCCGGCCAAGACCTGGCCCATGGGCAGGTGGAAGCCCAGGGAAGGACTGTGCAAAGAGGTCCCCAGTGCAGCATGGGGTAAGTATGCTGGGCGTTGGCCATTCAGGAAACCTGGCAGTGTAATGTGTGGATGGGCCCCCGAATCTCAAGAGAATTGTCAGACCTATTGGGTTTGTAGTTCAAAGATACTTAATGTTGAGTGACTTTAAAATTGGAAGGCCAGTAACCACTGTAGGTGATTATAATCCTAGAAATGAGACAGGGAGTCTCAGCTGCATTCTGGGTGTCACTACAGAACAGTGCTTCCCAATGTGTGGTCCATGGACCCCTCTCTTGAGGCCCTTTCACCTAGCCCACAGGTTGTTATTTACATAATAATAAGACATTGTTTGCCATTTTCACTGTCCACATGGATGGGACAAACACATCCTGAGTACAGCTACTGTCAGTACAAACCAAGCAGTGGCACCATGCTATGCCAGCAGTCAGATTCTTCACTGGTTACTCCAGTAAAAACAACCGTGTTTTTTTTTTTCAGGAAAGCACCTGAGTGGCACTTGCATCGTGAGCTGCACTGACTGTTCTCTTGTGGTGCATTTATCACTGCACCAGGGTACCCCTGACACAAAGGTCATTCAGATTTGGGTGTTTGATGGAGGCCTTCTCAAAATGAATGAAGTGAGCCTCTCACTACAGGATAGCAACTGGTAGTATTTATTGACAATGATAAAATGGAAGCTTTCAAGTAGAAGTTAAAATCTTGGAAAGCTTGTGTCGAAACCATATGAGCTTCACACTTTCCTAATCCAGGTGACTTTTCTGAGGGTGCTTAATCAACTTTTTTTTTTTAATAAATAGATGACATCATGAAATGTGTCAACCTTTGGAAGTTTTGTGTAGTTCATTGAACTAATATTTTCCAAATGACCTGTGCATTAGCTACAAAATTATATGTGGATAAAACAGCTGTTCAAAATGCTAGATAGACCAGTGGATTTTAGTGTAACAGTAGTTCATTACTGTGGTTTCAGATTTTATGTTGCATAAAACATTTAAACAACCACCACTTACGATTGGGTATCATATCAAGAATACCTGCAATTATATGAAAAAGCTGTTTTAAAATACTCAGTCTTCCATCTTCATGTGTGTGTAAGGTCAGATTTTGTTTGAGTAGTAACAGCAGATTGCATGCAAAGGCAGATAGAAGAATCCAGCTACTTTTTATTGAGCTAGATGGTAAAGAGATTTATAGAAATCTTTACATTTTGTTTTTAGAAAAGTGTTATTTTTATAAAAATGTTTTTAATGTTAATATCCAATGAGTTTTAAGTGAGTAAAGTTTTAATTTATAACTCAAGTGAGGTGAGGCCCTCAGTATCATATGAGAGTGCAAGAGGATCTAGAGAAAGTTTGAAAGTGTGTATCTCAGCATTTCTTGGGCACAGCCCCAAATGTTAAAATGAGCATCTACCTCTACTCTGGAGATGGATTTCCAGTTCCAAGTTGGGCTTTTTGTTTTCTACTTTGAGAAGTGATTTTCCAAAGTCTGGTTTTCCAATCCCTTCATCTCCTTAGTTCCCCTTCACCAAGACAATTCATTTTTGCTGTTTGTTCACAAAATTTCTTTTCATTCACCTTTTGATGTGAATATAAATGTACACTGTCTGTATTGTCACTCATAATTTCTCTTAGGTGAACATTAATTTACATTGTAAAGTTTTTTTCATTAAGCATGGGCTGATTTCCCTCTGAATGTGTTTGGTTTGCCAGATTCTGGTGTTTTAGAATTCTTTCCCTTCATTTGATCTTCTTTGTGAAAATGCTGGAACTTGTCTCACAGACACTGGATCCAATTACATACAATGTGCCTCATCAGCTCCTGCTATATTCTTTAATAAGAGTGCTCTCCATACAAATGGGATGGGATGGTTTACTGTGAAGTCCTTTATTGCTTATGAGTCCTTGCCCTCAAACTGGAAAGTTTTCATTGGCCATTAGATTCAGATTATGTATAATTTACCCAATGCCTGGAGTGCAGCAGCAGGAACCCAATAGGATCCATGGTTTGGGAACTAAATTTGGAATGCCTTATAAAAGTAATGAAGACACATCAGGCTACTTAATTATCTAAATATTTTAAAATACAAGATAAATTGCAGTTGTACCCCATGGCGATGCATGTAGGCTGAGTTGTGAGCTAGTGCAGATGAATTCTCCAGCTCTCTAATTTTAAATGCTGGTCCTAATGTCTACACAGAAATACCCTGAAAGTGGTTAGAAAGCTTTCATGTATTTTCTTGGGTCTATATTCAGGGACTCTTCTGATACGTAACTTGCTGTTCTGACTAGATGAGAGAGCATGATATTGTACAAAGACCACAGGCTTTGGGATCCAAACAGATTGAAGCTAGAATCCTGGCCCTAGTTCTTGGTAGCTCTGTGATCTCTGCAAGCCACCAAGCCTCAACTGTAGAATGGCGAAAGTAAATTTTTGCATAGAAAAGAATGAGTACTGCGCCTGCTAAACCTAACCTAAATAATAACCCCATTATTGCTATTATTTCCAGTATTGTTACCTTTTCAGATCTGCCTTTCCTTGCAAATGAACCAATTAGCATCCAGGTCAAGTAGGGAGAAGGTTCTGGGTACACAACTGCTGGTGCCCTGGTGGCCACTTTCTGCTGGACTTTTTATGCTAATAAAGGGAAGAGTTCACATGCAAACTGCAATCCCCCTTCCTGTCTTTCCCAACCTCCATTCTGGGGTGGGATGGGGTGCTTCACAATATCTGTAGAGCAGAAGACAAGTAGGAGAGGTCAGTTCTGGACTGCAGACATAGAGGTACTGCCTAGAACATTGTCTTCCTAATGACAAATTCTCAGATGGGCCCCTAATGGTTAGTGTACACATTTGGTGTCATGATCCTTTTCTCAGAGTCCACCTGAAGAGTTGTAAGGTGTGGCCAAGTTCTGGCCACCCAGGTGTCATTTTTCCAGTACCTATATATGTTTTAGTCTAAAATAGTTCCCTTCTTTGCAAATAGGGATAATTCCATGTCTATTTAAAAGTTCTTGAGTCATTTCCTGGCCCCTGTTGTAGTTTTTACTTTTCCTCAGCCTTGTAATTTTGTTAATTGCGGCCTAACCAGGTGTTTCTGAGGGCTCCTGAGGCAACCCAGCCCACCCCAGAATAGAAGGTAGGAAAGATAGGAAGGGGGGGGGGGGCTGAAGTTTGTATGTGAACTTCCTCCCTTTGTTAGCATAAAAAGTTCAGAAAAAAGTGGCCATGGATGCTAGCAGTTGGATACAAAGAATCCTCCTTTTCTCTGCAGTTGGTGGGGTGGACCGCCTCTTCCTAGAGCACACTAGCCTCAAGGGCTTCAGTCCCACTTGGCCAGTGTTTTTGGCATAGAATTTTGGGTAACATTGTTCTCAGTTGTTTGAAATTGTGCAAGCTGAATTTATAGGTATCCTAAGAAAACTCAAATATTAGACCTGGAAGACTAGATATATTAATTTCTTTTTATAAATGAGAAAACTGAAGAAATTCAACAGAGAAATAGGGCTTGTCTATGGGCCCTTTCTATCAAGTGCCTTGGTCTTTTTGCTCAGTTTAACATTGACTAGTTTTGTTTTCTTCCTTTCTGCCCCCCCATTTCTTTTGATACTTCCAATTTTCTACCTTCTCTCAACAGGCAGGTGTCACACAGAAGAGAGAATCTGGCATTCTCTGCCTCCCCTATCACATTGTTAGCTCACCTAATGCAAGAACACTGCTTGGCTGGAGATAGCAACTGCCACAAGTGTCTCTGGACAAGCATTGAGTGAGCAGCAGCTGGACCTTGCCCCTCTAGACTCCTCACATTATTCCCGCAGAGCCACCAGTTTCCCTTCCTGTGACAAGCACTAGCACATCCTCCCTTCCAGTGCTGAGCTGCAGGGTGACCAGGCTTCCTTGCTTGGTTCTCACTAGGTTTTATGCTACTAGGGTGCAGGATCTCTAGCTGGATCCTTAACTCCCATCCCCACATTGCACAGTGTCTAATATAGAGTACATACAAACAGTTATTGAGTGGGAATATCTAGGAATTTTATTGAACGCATTCCTTCAGAATGTCTGAAATGAAAAAAAAAGTTTTATTAAAAACACAGTTGTCTCAAAATTATAGAATTTTTCTTTTCATTTTGCATTTCTGCGACCAACACATTACACTGAATAGCAAGTTTTAGAAGGTGCAAATATGTCAGTCAGAAGCTGGGCCTCGTCTGTCTGCACAGAGGCCAGCACAGTAACACTGCCTACCTACCTGGGTGCTGCTATGACTCTTGGGCCAGGCCTTTGTGGGCCCAGCCAGAAGTGTCTGATGAGAAGGTAGCTAACAGCCCAATAGACACTGAGAACACTAGGAATAGGTACTTCTACGTGGTAGATAAGTAACCCATTACCAGCATGGACCTACATGGAGCATGACTAACGATTGCTTTACTGACACTCTTTTATTTGAAGAGAATGTATGTCCACTTCAATGGCCTGTGTCTTAAGTCTAGTCTCCTAACTACATGTTTTATTCTAGTCCCACCAGAACATGGAACAGCAGAGGTGTGTGGCAGCCAGCACAGGCACTGCAGAGGAAAGGACCTCAGTGATGCAGTTAGCTCAGGTAGAGCCTGTTTCTATGTTGTGTTCTTGTCATGAAAAGCAATGGTCCCTGAGAATTTGTATTTCTGTTTACTAGAACAGAAACCTAAATCGTTTAAATAGAAGGTAATGTCAGAAACAGGCCACTGTCATCCACCCCTACTGTGAGATTAGACAGCAAGGCACATATGCAAAAAAAGCCCTAAGGAAATAAAGAGTTGAACATCAGATATAGTTTAATCACCATTTTCCCAAAAAGAATAAAGGGAACTGTTCTAAAACAATTAGCAAAGTGAATGTGGAACTAAATCTCTAGAGGTTTCTGTAGGGACAAACTCTTGAGTGCTCAGACCTCAGCTAAGGGTATGTAGGAGTCACTTAAGCTTCCTAGACTGCTTTCAGACAGTTCCTGACCTCTTGCAGTTTACTATCACCAAAGTGTCCTCCTGCAAAAACCTCTTCATTCAGAATCACAACTGCTTGATGTTCTCTCTGCTGGGAGCTCCATGAAGACTGTCTCCTTCATCTTGGCTGCACTGGGCAGCAGGTGCTCAAACCAACAACTTGTGCTTTCCACAGAATTCTGCATAGAGTTCATCAATATTCAGTATTCAGTGGTATAGAAGATATGGGCATTTGTTCCATTTGGCTTACCACTAACTYACAATAAATGGACATTCACAAAATAAATAACTTGAGATAAAAGATTTGGACTGAGGGGTGCAGCTGAGTGGTAGAATACGCGTTTACAATGTGTGACGCCTAGTTTCAGTCCCCAGCACTCTGCCCCCCAAAAGACACAGACTTCTTGTCTGTTTCTTTTAATAACCCAACAACTGTGACAAAAATTTAAAACTAATTTTTTCAGCAACAGGGCAGACTTCAATGTCCATATTGGCCTTGGGGTTAGGGGTTGAATCACAGTTTCCAATAATACTCGAAATGCAAAAAGTCAAGGAGAGAGGCAGGGTGTAATGTCCTCACAAGGGAGGTATCAGTAGCCTAGTTTATTTATATAGTATAGAAGAACTATATACAAATGAGAAACAGCATGAGGCTGGCCTTGAGACTCAGTTATGAATTTGCTCTAACCTTTTGGACAAGTGATCCTATGTAAACTGATAAAACTTTTTAGAAGGCAATTTAGCAAAATATATCCAATTTAACATTTCATTACCTATAATTCCATTTCAGCTACACAAAAATATATACATGGTGGTTCATTGGCTCCAGCTCTGTTGGGAGCTGCTAACTTTTGGCTCTTTAGTTATTGTATTGATTCTTCACATTAATCCTCTGAGGTATGTGGTTTAATTCCTTTTATATGGATGGCATTATTTAGTGCATAGTGTACAATTGACATTTCTCTAGGAGCTATAATAGAAATTATGTTGTTTTTAACAAATTGGGAACAACATAATGTTCATGTAATAGGATATTGAGTAGCTGAAGTGGTGGGATTAAAATGTAATTAATAATAGTGATGTTGCCCCTATCACTGACAGGGAAAGATAAAACAAAACAAAAAAAAAATGCCTTGTAGTAAGTGGCTGTAAGTCTGATGTATAATCCCAGCAACTCAGGAGATAGGCATGAGCAAAGCAAGGTGAAACCTTGTCTCAAAAAAGGGCTGGGAGCTGGGAGCAGTGGCACATGCCTGTAATCCCAGTGATGGAGGAAACTTAAGGTGGGAGTACTGCAATTTTGAGGCCAGCCTCAGCAGCTTAGTGACACTCATAATAAAAGGAGCTAAAAATGTTACTCAGTGGTAAAGCACCTTTGGGTTCAATCACCAGTACCAAAAATGWAAAGAAAAAGAAGGCTGGGGATATAGCTCAGTAGTGGGGCACTCCAGAGCTCAATCCCTTGTACTACAAGGGAAACAAGGAAAGCAAACAAACCCCAAACAACTACAAAACAGCATCATGACCACATTTCTGTAATAAACACATCACTACTTTTGGAAGGATATACACTGGCATGTTAAAAGTGGCTCTCAATAGTGAATAGGGCTCCAAGTTGTTTTCATTTTCTTCTATATAAATTTAGGTAGAATGAAAAGCTGATATGAATTTTAGCAAAGTAAATTTCTATTATAGCTCCTAGAGAAATGTCAATTGTACACTATGCACTAAATCATGCCATCCATATAAAAGGAATTAWACCACATACCTCAGAGGATTAATGTGAAGAATYAATACAATAACTAAATCAAAGAGCAGCTCCCAACAGAGTTGGAGCCCACCATTATCACCACAGGGGTTCAGAATTGCCAGATCTTCCAATTATCAAGCACAGTCAGATTTTATTTAAACTCTCCTAATAACACTGGCAATTTACTCAACTGGTTTTCTTGGGGGGGGGGGGGAGTAGGGCAGAGTACAGGAATTGAGCCCAGCTCTTAACTGAGCACTTAACTACTGAGCCATATCCCCAGCACCCCGCCCCCCTTTTTGAGACAGGGTCTCACATAGTTGCTTAGGGCCTAAATTGTTGAGGCTGGCCTCGAATTTCTAATCCTCTTGCCTCAGCCTCCAGAGTGGCTGGGATTACAGGCCTGTGCCAATGTGCTTGGCTACTCAACTAGTTTTAAAACACTACAAATTACCAGAGAAAACATACAAATGTAGGGGAATGCAAATTAAAATCACAATAGATATCACTGTATACTTACTAAAACAGCTAAAATTAAAAACTTACAACACCAAGTGCTGGATGGATGAGGAGCAATTGAACAGGAATACTACTGATGATATAGCCACTATGAAAACAGTCTGGCAGTTTCTTACAAAGTTAAATATATACTTACCATATGACCAGCAGTCCTACTCCTAGGTGTTTACCCAAGTGAAATGAAAACCTGTGTTCACACCAAAACCTGTATATGAACATTTATAGCAGCTTTATTCATAATTGCAAAAAGCAAAACAACCCAGTCTTCAATCAGAGAGTGCATAAGCAAACTGGTACATCCAAACAATAGATACTTAGCAATAAAAAGAAATAAACTCTGCATATACTTAACATAATCTCAAATGCATATGCTAAGTGAAAGAAGACAGATTCATTCAGATGCTCCTCAACTTAACAATGGGGTTATATCCTGAGAAAACCATTGTAAATTGAAAATATCCTATGTCAAAAATGCATTTAGTATACCTAATCTACAGAACACATTTACACTATAGAATGTTGGTGGTATCCCCTTGTGATCCTATGAGTGATGGGGAGCTGCAGCTCACTGCTTACCACTGCCTGGGTAGAGATCAAAATGTGAAGTACAACATGTATTACATTATTTATCATCATGAAGTACAAAATTTGTAAGCTGACCCAGAGTAAGGCAGGTACTGTTTGTACTATGATTTCATTTAGAGTATATGCCATTTTAGAAAAGGCAAAACTATAAGGTATGGTGATCAGTGGTTACCTATATTAAGKGTTTGACAAAAATGAGGGAATGTTGGGGGATGTGAAATGTTCTGTATTTTGTTTTGACTATTTATCAAAACCCTTATATAGCTGAAAAATGGCATGTGTGAGCTAATTGTGTCCTTTAGGCATTCAGTTTGTACCCTCTCTTTCTTCCCTTCAGAACCTAGCTTCCACATGATGAACTACTCCCACCCATTTGGCCACCTATGTGGTGGGAAGATGAACTAAGCTAGAGAACTATATCCATTGATAGGTTTCTTGTCAGTCCACACAAGTCCACACACAGTATTTATTAGCAAAATCTCAACTTTACAGATCATTTGAACAACATGTCTGAAATACTTTCCTTAACGATACAATCTTATTTGCTATGTATTCAGGAAATTATAAATACAAAATGGTGAATTTAACAGTAGAACTATCTCTTTGTAAAGCTAACAACTAATTCTTTGGTATGTGTGTTTTCTTACTCAGGGTTTTACTTTTTCTCCAATAATAAACTATTCTTCTGGTATCCCTGCAGTCTATCCTGGCATCGGAGGAGCTGCCCCTTGTCTATGAACAGTCTGCCTGGGGTGTGGAAGAGTTGGGCCCCTTTCTGCGCTTATGCCTCATGGATCAAAACTTCCCAGCATTTGTGGATGAGGTAGAAAAGGAACTTAAAAAGCTGACGGGGTTAAGAAATTAATGTTCTATGTAAATGCATAAACCTAAGGAACTTCCAAAGTATTGAAAAATGCTTTCTCCTAAAAAGTTAAAGATAGTAAAGAGTATTATTCCAAACACCTTTTGTCAATGTTTTATTGTTAAAAACAGGTGAATCCACTTTTTTAATACATCACTGCACTTCAACAATTACACAAAACACAAGTACATGCATCTATAGTTACGTACTGCATGAGAACCTGGTCAGGTTATAAAATCTACCATCAATCATTAATCAATGTGAAAAAATAGTGTCAAAGCAAAAAGTATAACTAGAGTTGCATAGAGTTTCACCATGCTATAACATCTCAAGGTTATTGAAAACAAAAGGTAAATTATAAAATTTGCCTTGGATCAAATATACAAGAATAAGGTTCAATACATCAGTGCAAAAGGATTTAAGAATTTACATGATTTAACAGAAGAAAAAATAGTCACTTAAAAGCAATCATACATATATACTGCAATTCATTATATCCCTTCAGTGGACTATTCCATCATCTTATTAAAGTTGTAGGTTAAGCCCTTAAAATTACAGACTTCAGAATTTATAAATTATCTATCTTTATGTACCATAACTGCACATTTCCTCATCTGACAACATACAATAAGGAATGAATATCAGCATTTTAAACATGAAACAAGCATTTATTTTATTTTGGATTTCTCCCACCCCAAAAAATATAAATATATATATATATATATTTATATATTGTATATATCTGTAGGTTTTGAGTACTTTACAAAAATGTATCACTAGATGGCAGCAGTGCATTTTAGAGCTTTGCCAATTGAACAGCTGCTTTAAGTAAAAAATGGCGCATGCACGATCTGGTCCTCAGAGGACCTTTTCATTTCTATTTAAATATTTTAACAAAGGAAAGAAAGCAACATTCACAGCACATCAAGCCCAAAATAGTTTACACCTTCTACACTGAAGCACTGTTTAAAATGTACCTGGCTAGGTCACCCTTATAGGAGAGGCTAAATAAGGCATGCTTTAGACGGTCATTGTGGTGTTGCTCACTTTGAAAAGGGAGACCAAAGAGGTCCAAGCAAAAATTTAGCAGGTCATGATGCCACCAGTTTCAGGAACCTAAAGATCTGTGAGGGGAAAAAATGTATTCAGAAATTAAAGGGAATATGCACTGTCCCTCAGGACTATACCAAGCACCACATAAAATAAACTTTGATTCAAACAGCATGCTCAGGGATGTGGTGTGAAATTCTGATCTCCATGTGCCTAAGAGAATGGTATCCAGCCCTGTTGCTTCTTGGTCACTGTCCCTGTCCTTGCCCTCAGAAGTAAAGCAGCACTAACAGGCCTCTAGGAACAATTTGCCTAAAGTGACAATTTACTCTTTTTCTCTTTTTTAAAGATATAAACCAAGTAGTGCAAAGTATTTATTTTGAAACATCATATGTATTCTGAAATGGAATTTATGTAAAAGCTGAAAAATGTTCCTTTCTGCCACTAAATTGAGCAGAGAACTTGTTTCAGCAGAACCAACTGCTCTGAAATGAACTTAAAAGGTCTTACCACATAACACCAACTATTGAATTTGTAACAAGGTCAACAGAGGTAAAATGCAATTGAATATAATTTTTTTAAATTTCTAGAAGGCCATACTTACATTATAAGCAGTACTTAATTTGTGTTTCTCTGGCGCAAGTTTTTATCTTTGTGATTGTTGGTAGAGTTGGTTTTCCTTTGGAGGAAAAATTGCATTGTGAGTTAAACTAGTAACAATGTTTGAAACACATGGAAATACAGGGACTCTTTCACTTACTGCCATCCCTGGTGTAAGAAGAAACTTTACTGCACAATATTAGTTTGTAACAATATACCTTATAAAAAGTACCTACATAACTTCAATTAATATTCTTTGACTCCCAAGGCAGACAACATATAGGCAGCTTGCCCTTTGATTTCTAAACTATATTTCAGAACTATAAAAGTGAGAGTAACATTTACTTCACTGAACATCCCTGTTATTTTTCAATTGATAAAAGACAACCATCAACTGGCTGTTCTGTACCTTCAGTCATTAACTAAGTACTTGCATCTTAGTCCCTAACTCGAGGATAGATTGCCAGACTTGGACTGATCCTACACTTGCAGCTCCATCTCTCTTGGATAGCAGTAATTGTTAATGGAGCTAACCAGTTGATCCATGCTATCTTATAATCCAGATTGAAATTAACTTAAAACTTTAGGCCTCTCATATTAAGCATGCGTAACGTGCAAAATTTTAACAACTTTTTACACATTAATACACTTGCATGGCTAAAAACAAGATTGCAACCTGTCCTGGGAATCAAAATGGTCTGCAGTCTTTGTCTGGTTAAGAAGTCTATGTTGCAACGATATTTCTACTCACTGTCTTCCCCTAAGAATTTAGCTACTCCATTTGACAAAACTGTAAACACAAGATAATTCAATCAGAAACTATTAAAAGTCAGTGTCCAATAAAGTACTTACATTGGCCCAGCTGGTTCATCATCTATATGGGTGTTCAATTTTTAATAAATCCACAAAAAATAAGAGAAAGAAGAAAATTATTAGATTCTGCATAAGGATTAATAGGATAGCTTACTGCAAGTAGCAGACATGGCTATTCATAGCATTTATTAAAGGCCATTCCATCTGGAGGTGCAAAACACTCATGGAGTTATTATTTCTAGATTCAAGTTTTAATGGCAGGTATGTTGTTTCAATGGTTTTAGTTAACACTTTGAATGCTTGTCATGAAAAACTGCAACTGTAGTGGACAGACAGGCTGAAATATCATTATACTCATCTTGTCCCCAAGTTCCAGTGGTTCACTCTTAAATAGATGAGAAGACAAACCAACATTTCAGTTGTAAAATCCTGCTGTTTGTTTTCTTGTGGTGAATGCATGCAGTTTTGGCTCAATCCTGCAATGTAAATGGATGTGTAAATCCTATATGTTTAGCCACACATCCTTACTTCCCCAAATGGCACTGTTTTTCTGTTTTTGGAATCTTTAGGAGAGTCTTTAAGTCTGGAGATTGAGAAGAGGAAGCCATCATAGTTCAAGCTAATGCTGAGTCAGCCATGCTGGACTATGCCAGCAATTAGCATATGCATACCAGAGGATGTTGAGACACTTCAGGGAGAGCTGAATAGTGACATCCCTCTAGAAAAGAGGTCAGATAGAAAGACTGGCTCACTCTTGTGCCCTGACCAAAACCAGAACACCCAGGAGATATCTTTTTTTAAATCAAAAGGCTTATGAGCTCAGAAGCCTTTTCAAATTGATACTTTATGGTTCTCATTAGGTTTTCTTTCATGTTTCAACTAAGGGCAACTTGATCCCTTTCAAGAGGAGATATACACTTTTTTTTTTTTTTAAATCCACAAAGGGGAGGGAAACAAGTTCGTGCTCTTAGTTTGTTTTTCCTAAATGATTCAGAACAGTTTGATTTTGCTGAAGGGTTCTAGAAAAACTCTCAGCAGGATTCCACAAGGGGGCTTGGTGCACATGAAGCAATTATGGAGGTTACAATCTCAGTGTAGGCATCTGCAGGAGCACATGTTGGGAGTAATGTCTGTCAGAGGGAGACATTGCTCCACCTGTTCCTTCCAGGCAACGGAGAGGCAAAGCCACCGCCAGCACACACAAGTGACTGGAGCAAAAAAAAAAAAAAAGGATTTAAAAAAAAAAAAAGAAAGAAAGAAAGAAAGAAAAAAAGAACCAACCACAAACCAATGACTCATAAGCCAAAACAATAGGCTAGTGACATACCAGTGTCCACAGGAGTCCATTACTAACAATGGTACACTATCAAAACAGGTACAGCAAACAACATACGACTCCAGGACACCCAAGACAYATATGTGTGCTGTGTGTGTGCGCAGTGGAAAGATACAAAGACATACCAAGTACTAAGACACACAAGCCCAAACTAAACCCTTCCCTCACGACAGCCTACTGCTCAGCATCCGGCCAAGCCAGCTCAGCTACATGCTAGGAGCTAAGCACCTCAGGGATTTGAAGACAACACAGGAGCAACTTAAAAGTATTTTTAGTGCTCTAGATGTGCATCCCAAAATACAAAATTCTAATACAAGGAAACCAAATTGAATATATCACCAATTTAGTCCCAACTTTAAAATAAAAAAAGGGAAGGGAGAATCACAATAGCCACTATTCTTTTCAAAGCATGACACTATAGGCAACCAACCCAAGCACCTCAGAACACAGGCTTTTTTTCTTTCTTTTTTGGTGGGAGGGTATTCTCTGGTGCCAGATTAGAAATGTCACTTTCCAACCTAACAAGATAATAACATGCAAAGGGCTTACATGTAGGTATTTCAGCAACAGTGCCTCTGGCATAGCTGCCATGCCTCTGAGTGGAGCAGCCATGATTCCACACTGGGGTCTAAATCCCAGGAGCCCTCTCAAAGTCTCCCCAGATTCACTTTCACACTGACAAAGAACAAAGAGCCTCCTGTCTCCCTTCTCTCCTGCACTGAGTTACTAAGTGCAGCACCACTCTCCTTTATAGGTCATACAATAAATAGGTAGGTAGGTAGATAGATAGATACCAAAATAATGACTTGACCCCTAAAAGGGAAGTCAGGAGAGAGGGAAAGAACAGAACTACAGAAAAAAGGTACAAAAATCAAAGTAAATGAGGATTAAACAGCAAACTGAAATCCAAATTAGTTGTGAAAGTGAATGAAGTAACTTGAAGAAAAGTGTTAACATATGAACTGTGCATCATATAGACTGAAGCGGAGATTTAAACAAACTCCAAAAGCATGCATATCGCTCACTTACCACCATGTTTTAAGGGTTTGATGCAATTGAGGGGGGAAAAAAAAGAAGTCATAGTAACCGACAAACATCAACACACCCCCAAACCCTCAGGCCAAAAGAGCTGCCTAACAATGACTGTTCTCTCCACCTGGGAATTACTCACAGCCACTGGCTAAATGAGAGGAAGAGGACTGGGGGGAAAATGGAAACAAAGATGCTTCTGGAATCCACATGGTGAGAATGAAGTTCTTGGTGGAGCTGCTGCACACACTGGTTTTCTGCATGTTTAAAATTTCCCCACTGAGAGGTACCATAGCCCTCCTCTCCCAACACCCACCTCATAATCTAGAAAGTGTGCTCTGTGATGTGTAGTAAATAACAGATTGCCTGAAACAGGATCCCCTCCAAAAATGATAGCTTCAGAGTCAAAACAACCCAAGAGCTGACTCTGGTCAAAGTTCCTTCATCATTGCATTCACATCACTGAAGAAAAGGTTTTATATTTCTAAATCCACTTAAAATTTTGCCTGGTTTCAGCAGAGTAGCATTAACTAAGAGATTCATGATCACTTCCAAGTTCCTCCTTTGTTTGGTCCTATTGCATTTTTTCTTTAAGGTAACTTCTTACTGATAAAATGACCCCTAGTCAAGAGACAGTGAATATGTTCTGGATGTTGTTTTAAAAAGTCACGTTTCTTTTTCAACTTCCACAGTGTGCCATGAAGCTTCATATGCTACCAAATGTTTTGACCAACTAGTAGATTTGGGAATACTGGAAGACCTCTTTAAAGTGTCTAAAAGAGCATGGATATATCAGATATATCAAAACACTCTTATAAAATAAAACCTCAAATATCTTCTCCACCAGTAACTTAATGTTAGAGTCATTTTGACTTGCTTATGAAAATTATCCCAGTGTGAAAAAGAAACTCTTGATGCCAGCACATTTCTTAAATCATTTCCTATTATTTAATTTTAATGCCTGTGAATCCACTAAAGTGTACAGTAGATCTGAAGGCCCCAGTGACTGCTCAGGTTCATCACCCCATTACCCAGGGGGCTCAGAGAGCACATTTCCCAGCAGCCCGAGAGCACATATCAGTTGCTCTTTACTTTAGCAGAAAGCCAACACAGGTGGGCTCCAAACATGTGTTCAACTGTAACATGAATGGATGGCTAGACTGTTTAACATTTTGGAGGAACATACTCAAAGTGAAAAACCAAAGCTCTGATTTGGCTCCATGATTCGCATGTTYCTAAAAACACACATCGATAATCCTACAAGACAACTTATTGGGTGCTGATCCTCCAACTATAACATACTAAAGCATACAAATACTAGATGTCATTTATAAAAAGACATGGGTCTTTTTTTTTTCTTTTAAAGCAGCTGAACCTCAACGTTCAGCTAAAGCGGTATTTGCTTTTCTAGTGGAACACAAACTGTTTAAGTTCAAATGTATTTTTACTTTTATACTTAGTCYAAGAACTCACAGAATGCCCCTTACGGGAATACTATGAGTTCATATAAAAAAGTTCAGTGCATCTGAAATAAACTAGGTTTTGTCACTGCTCTTGCAAGCCACTTTAAAATGGCATATATTCCACTATAATGAGCACTACCAGGCCTAGTTGGTTGAAATGAAGAATGTGATCCTGGCGCTTTAAAGAATGATAATTCCCCATGCCCTCTCTATGAAAGAAGAATCTATTTGACAGAGAAAAGGTACATTAGGCCTTAAAAACAAAAAATCCTTCCCAATTTCAAAGTGGCATAAATAAGCCAACACAGTGCCACAATAGTTATATATAAAAATTCACCACCTTGAACAACCAAGTTCATATAAGATAAAATGTATCTCTTCATCCTCAAAAGGGTGTACACATATAATCTACATTTAAATTTGGGAAGGAGCAAATGGGAAGAAAGTGTATATGTGGTACTGGTGGAAGTGAGATGGCAGTAGCTAGTACCATTTTTTGCTCAACAAATTTTGAGCACATCATTGATGCCTTCCCTTCAATATCAACAACAAAAATCAACAAGTTTCTGACAAAATGCAGGGTATAAGCCTCTGGTCTGGTTAGTATGAACTGACTAAAGAAGAAAAAGCAAGAGCATAAGAAAGCTCACTCACATTTTTTTTTTTTTAAATGATTACTTTCAGGGTAGAAAAGAAGGGAGGTGGAAACAGAGAAGTTTGAGAGAAAGAGGTCGAGAAACAAAGGAGAAAACTGGAATGAAAATGCTGGAGTGAGGGTAGGGATGTTGAGATGGAGAATGGAGCCTGAATCAAACTGGCTGTCAGGAAGGGAGGGAGAGAAGGCAAACACTGTAATCATTCTAGCATCAAAGATTTTTCACCCCAAGTCAACAACAAAGAAGTATTAAAAGCTGCTTGCATTACATTATTCCTAAGAGACAAGAGCAAAGAAGTTTAACTTTGCACTTACCCTGTAGTCATCTCTCTTTATGTAGGATTCTTTCACTGTCTATAACAATTTAGTTTAAGAGGTTACTTTCCCTCCAGGAAGTTGTTCAGAAGCCTGGCTGGCCATAGATGTCTCCTATAACAAACTGGACTCCCCATTTGATTAACCAATGAACTCCTAGGAGAAGCAGTCAGCCTTGTCTAAAAAATTCTAAATGAGTTTTTAGAGCCTATCTCTGCCAATTCTTTCCTGCCTGTGTGCTCTTCAACCTGTGCAAAGGACAGGCTGAGAAAAAGCAGTATTTGGCAAAGCAATATGTAGCACTGTGGGAGGGATGCAAAAGCCCTTGTCAGGAAGGAGGCATAACTGCTCCCAAAGAGCACATGAAAACCAGGCAACTCTTCTCTCCCTTTACTCTCAAGTCTAAATATAGGTGCACTCTGTGTTGGGAATCCTAATATATAGCAGAAAAGGGAGAAATCTCAAGGAAAAACCATTAGGGATACATGAAAATCCCATGAAGTAGTTTTACTTCATAGCATAGGAAAGTAAAACTCCTGGGGGACCATCCTCTATCTCAGAGAAACTAGACCATGTATTTACAAAGGTCTCTCTGCTTCCAGTCGACACCCACCCCATTCCTCCATTCAATTCACTGCTGAAAGTACATTCAAAGAGGCATCCATCTACCAGGTCTTCCTACAGGTATCATAGTGTCAACAAAAATCTCTTCATCAATCTCAGCACTCATTCAAATACTCACTCTACTTAGTGCAGACAAGAGATTTAGAGCTGCTGAGAAGAAAAGAAAAGGAAGTGGCTGGTGCTCTCAAACATGTCCTTTTCAGAGAGTCTAAAAGTCATTGGCATGCCTTTGAAGCTCCTCCACTCTTTTCAAGGGATCAAGAAACCTGTGTTTGCCAAATATACAAAGGCTGCAGTCCTATTGCTCAGCCACAGAGACAGTCAACCCTGGGGTAGGATACTGTGCCACGGGTACATAAACATAATCCCCAGAACTGGTGATCCCACCATCACTCCAGATCAGTTTGCACTGAGCTTAGTGACACACACTTCTGGTCTAGCTTGGCAGCAAAGCAAGTGTTGGCAATGGTTGGTTAGGCATTTTTCTTTTTGCCAGTGATATGAAAGGATGGAAGAGTGGGAGGGTGGGGGTATAGAACTATTAGGAATCTGATGTTCTGATAGGAGTCTCCATAAATAGTTTCCCCCTGGTTTTAATCAAAGGGTTAAAAAATGAAAATCTATGACCAAAAAAATACAACAATATCCTAAAGCTTTCCTGATTCCAGGCTTGTCCAATAAGAGAAGACATCAGCTGTTACCTCTACAGTGCTTAATGACTCACCATGATTCTACTGCTACTGTCACTCTACTCTGCGACCCTGGGCCTGCCTTGAGACATGGGCTCCAGGTCCAGGTATTAGCACTTAGCTATCTTAAACTGGGAGGAGGGATACATCAGACACTCTCCACTGTTCTTCTCTTTGCAACACAGGCAGAAGAGCCATATGGTAGAGAATAATGAAAATCTACCAAAGAGACCAATCAAGGAACCACAGGGCAGCTTGTTCCAATGGCTTTCCTAAGATAGTCTGACTTGGACTGGGACTATTACTTACAGGAGTTATACCAGTCAACCATCTGACAACCAGTTAGATACTTTAAATCTGCCTGAATGAACAGGTGGCCTACCATCTTGGGGTGGCTTCCAGGCTTGACCTGGATTCTCTTCAAGCTTAGCTGCCTTATGATCTATATTGAAGGAAGACAAAGCTCAACAAGGAGACTGACAGCTGTTCATTTACCACAAGGCCTAAAGGGCAGAGCCTAGGATTTGGAGGATACCTAAAGAGGGAGAAAGCATATTATAGCTACTGATGCCTAATATAAAAAAATCTGAGCCAGGCACAGTGTCACATGCCTGTAATCCCAGTGGCTTGGGAGACTGAGGCAGAAAGATCATGAGTTCAAAGCCAGCCTCAGCAATGGTGAGATGCTAAGCAACTCAGTGAGACCCTGTCTCTAAATCAAATACAAAATAGGGCTGGGGATGTGGCTCATTGGCCAAGCACCCCTGAGTTCAATCCTCAGTACCACTCCACATACAAAAAAACAAAGATCTGAGAGGTAGGGAGTTAGGAATAAAATTTTTCCTTCTTTTTCCTTTTGGAATGTTTGAGAATCCCAACATCCATATAGTCTTCTTTGGGTGTTTAGAAACCACCCCAAAGAACCAAATCCAACATTACTGTTCTGTAGGTATGCTCTTACCGTCAGGAACCTCATCTGGCCTCTTCCTCTTCTCATACACAACAATGATCACTACAAGGATGATGATTTCAGCCAGAATTCCCAAGAAAGGCCAGAGTGGGGCCAGGTGGCTTCGTACCCTGAGGATGGTGAACACTGAGGCGGAGCCAATAGAGTTAGTAGCATTACATTCATACTCTCCGGGATCTTCTGTGATCTGGAGGTTTATAATACTCAACTCTGTATAATTCTCCTTGTTGATGATGAAGAAGCGACCAGAGGCATTGCCAATATCCTGCAGAAAAAAATGGGGAACACAAAGGTCAGAGTAGGTGAGCCAGTGATCAAGGGAGGGTAAAGTTCTCCCTCTTACCAGGACACTGGTGGAAATGAGATGGCAGTATCTAGTACCATTTTTGCTCAGCGAATTTTGAGTACATCATTGATGGCTTCCCTTCAATATCAACAACAAAATCAACAAGCTTCTACAAAAGCAGGGCATAAGCCTCTCATGTGCTAGTCTTCCAGACTCTTCCAGCTTCCACAGAGTGCAGGTTTACTGGTATAGATTGATGACATAATTAATGCTACTTCAAACACCCGATGAGAAACTACAGCAGGAAGAAGATGGGGAAGGAGCAGCACAAAGGACTCCCCTATTCCTACATCTGGGAACCCCAGCCCTGTCTCTTGACATCAGAATTAGCACAAGAATTTCATGATTCATGGGTCCTAAGAGATCTCCTTAAACTTCTTTCACAATGCTAAGAACAATTTCTTAGGGCAGGTAAAATTCCCAACTTTCCTTTCCTTTCTGGACTATAAGGTTAAAGAAGAGATTATTCCATCAATCAACAATTATCTACTAATGCACACTACATATTTTATATCCTACTAAAGGGAAGGTCAGAGAGGGAGAAGTATAAACAAAATGCACAAGGAGCTTAAGCTCAAGAGGGAACAGACATCCAAAGGGATGACTGACTACAGGAATGTATTTTTTTAAGAGAAGTCCCATGAAGAAAAGGGGACCTGAAATGTAAAAAACTAGATATGGCTGTCGATTTTGCCACTGACTCTAAAGACTGTTAATCAAAGAGGATGCCTAAAAAGCATAGTGTTGAATATATAAAAACCTGGGGTTAGGAAGAATATATAGTACCTGCTCACTAAAAAGGAAAACTGGTCAAACAAAAAGTAGGAGGGTTTAAGGCATTGTCCAAACACCATCAAAAATCATCCCACAGGTTGAAAAAGATGTTCTCTTTGAACTTTTGTATAGCAAACATTGTCCAATACCAGTGCCTAAGCTTGCCCTTTRCCCTTCTTGGGTTGTATCAGTATTTCTGAGTTCTAGGAATATACTTATAACTGCCTTCAATCTTACCAAAATCAAAACATACTCTAATGGACTGGAATAGTAAAATATTTAAAACAGGCTTGGATCTTTCTGTGTCCTATCCTGAAGGCAATCAATCTAATCCCTTACCAGATAGACAGCTTTAACAAATCATGTACATAGTCCATGCTGGATAGAGATTGTCCTGCAGATTCAGATGTAAAGCATTCATCACCCTAGAAAGGATGATTCAAGCCTTGTACACATCCAAGAGTATAGGTGTTGAAGCAACTGGTCCAGATGTCTGGACGTCCCTAGTAGAAACTCCAGCAACCACAGAGACTCAGGCACCAAGAGCCAGGGCTGCTTCCTACTCACTGAGAGCACACCATTCTCCTCCTTCTTGCGCCATATCCACTCTGGGTGGGGATAGCCAACTGACTTGCAGTACATTATGGCATCCTGCCCCTCATTCTTGTTCTCACTCCGTTTATGGCCAGTGATGTCAGGAGCAGCTGTGGGAAAAAAAAAAAACCAGTTACCACAGGAGCCTACTCTAAATAGGTTACAAAGGCCTAACCTACTGGCTCAGAGTCTTGCTTCTAATATAATTGGCCTTTAGGCACCCTTCCTATTCAGCTTTGATAAAGAGCATTTCAGACAGGATAATGGAGCCAATTCCATTCCTCACCCCTACCCACCAAAGCATCAGAGCAGGTACCAGGGTTATTAACATACGAAGTTCTACTCAAGTAGGTGATTCTCCAACTTACAGGAAAAAGATACAAGTCCAATGGCCCTAAATTTCCTCCTCTTTAAAGAAAATGCAAACAAAAGTCATTATCATCTCTGAAGAAAACCAGGGTTTTTCTTCAAATACTTGCACTAATAACAACTATAGATCATGTCAAATATCACATACTCCCCTAAGGGAAACAAAGAGGCTTGAGGTCAAACATTTGCAATCAAGGTACATAAAAACAACAAGTGCTTAGATAAGGTACTCCATAAGTATAAATGACCTAGGTTCTCCCAGGAAAGAATGAAAGAAATGGATGAACAGGAAATTCAACCAGTGTCTCATATGCTTTTGTTAATAGTTTAACAATCTGACCAGAGCTGGGGCTGTATCTCTGGGCAGAGCACTTGCCTAGCACATGTGAGGCACTGTTCGATCCTTAGCACCACATAAAAATAAATAAATAAAATAAAGGCATTCTGTCCATCTACAATTACAAAACAAAATTTTTTTAAAGAACCTGACTTGCCTTGCTGGGCATGGTGGCACATGCCTGTAATCCCAGTGGCTCTGGAGGCTGAGGCAAGAGGATTGGGAGTTCAAAGCCAACCTCAGTAATGGTGAGGTGCTAATAAGCAACTCAGTGAGACTGGGACTCTAAATAAATAGGGCTGGGGATGTGGCTCAGTGGTCAAGTGCCCCTGAGTTCAATCCCTGGTACTGGTACCCCCATCCCTTAAAAAAAAAAAAAAAAAAAAAAAAGGAATCTGACTTGATTACCTCATTTGCAACAATCTTGATGAACCCAATTCTGGAGTTCCTAGAGGCTGTTGGGCTTTTCTACTTTTAGAGATCACACAGGAACAAATAAACTGTACCTATAATCTAAAACTTAGGTCAGTTTCAATGATCCAAGAAGCCTGAGATGGGGCTAATTCTTTGAATAATCTTTTAACTATACTTTCCACTAATGCTGGACCAGTTACAGGAACCTGATAGCAGTGAAATTCAAAGTAGGCTAGACTTTACTGTTGGCCAAAGTAGGGAAGAAAATCAATAGGACTTTGTTCAAATTCCAGTTTTGCTGGCTCTTGACAAATTCCATGCTTTGTTTCTATTCCCATTATCAAACAGAGATAATTCTTAGCCACACTACCTCCCTGTTCCTTTTTTTTTTTTTTTTGTATCAGGGGTTGAAGCCAAGGGAACTTAACCACTGAGCCACATCACCAGCGCCATTCCCCTTTTATTTTTTATTTTGAGATAGGGTCTTGCAAAGTTGCTTAGGACCTTGCTAAGTTGCTGAGGCTGGCTTTGAACTGGCGATCCTCCCACCTCAGCCTTCCTAGCTGCTCCCTGTTCTTGAATAGMTAAATAAGATGTCAAAAACATTCATTTTGAGGCTGTAAAGTCCTGTAGAATTGTATTGTATGATGGACTGACATCAGGTACTACCTCTGATGAGCTTGCTTTTCTTGGCTTAAGAGTCCAAAGTTCTACTACTCACAGACTGTGCTTCTTAGTCTTGTACTTAACTTCTAGAGGCATCTGGACATGAATGAAATGAACAAAAACCCAAGCTGTCTCTACAACCAATCCTTGCTAAACTGAGGCTTGTTCAGGACCACTTAGTGTGTGAAATGTTTCCTAGACTGGGTGTTATAAAGGAAACCTCATTTTGKTTTTCTAGGAAAAATTCTTTACTACCAAAGGGAGTGATCAGGCTAGCTCTATCTTGTCCTAATCCAAACTTTCTCCACTGCCACTTTATCACTTCTCAGGCCTACTGGTTATCCTTCCTTAGAGATTTCTTCAGCCAAATACTATTACTCCAAGGAGTAAGTTCCAAAGCCATATCTTAAAACACCATCAAGGGGAAACTGAAGGACATAGTAAGCAGAAGAGCTAACACACGTTGCCTCCAACTTTGTTTCACTCACTTGACAAGCATCTGTTGAACATACCCTACATGCCAGAGATGATAACAAAAGGATCAGAAAAGGTCTTTCTGATGTGAAAATAAGGAGTAGGGCATGCATATGTGTAGAGAGAACACTCCAGGTAAAGAGAAGCAAAGGGCTTGAGGCAGGTGTGTGTTTATTATATACAAGGAACAGTAAAGAGAAGTTTGGATGGAACACAGTTCACAAGAACACAGGGATGAAATCTGAAAGACTGTGGACCCAGACTGGATAGGACTTGGTAGGCCACTACAATGACTTTGGGCATTTACACTGAGTCTGTTAGAAATCACTAGTGCCGATTACATGCAAATATGAAATGATCTGTATGCTTTCACTGACTCCCTATGGCTATTATATGGACAACTGTACATATACAACAGTGGAAGCATGACCAAACTAGGATGCTACTTGAGTAATCCAGACAAGGGTGTGGGTGGTATCCATGGTTCACATGAAGGGAGTAGCAGTGGAAGTGGGGAGAAGTAATAAGACTCTAGGTATATTTTGTAGGTTGAGTTAATATATTTATTAATGACTTAGATATGGGACAAGAGAGAAAACGGAGCCATGGATGACTCCAAGATTTCGGCCTGAGTAATTAATTAATCATTAAGAATGGAGTYGCCAATTACTAAGATGCTGAGGACAGTTTTTGTTTGATTATTCTTGTTTTGTTAGGGAAGAAAGCAACAGTGGACAGGACATGTTAAGGTTAAGAAGCATATTTAATGAAGTTGTCACCTAGGCAGCTGAATATTAATTCTGGAACCTCAGGGAAGTGCTCTAGAGTGAAGATATAAATTTCAGAAATCAGCTTATCTATGGTGTATTTTCCCATTTTCACTCTCCTCTGCCTCAAAGAGAATACTATGGGCCATATATAAGGCCAATGTCATTAGCACTAGTTAAGTACTATAGTTAAGTACTATTAGCTTTTGCTTTGGGTTACACATTAGAACCACCTAGAAGGCTTAAAGTTAAGTTGGCAGAGTGCTCTATGGCCTCTAAAAAGTCATTTTTCTGAAAGAGCCCAGACTTCAAAGGTCAGGAATGGGGAGAAGGGTAGGAATGGTTTTCACTCTTGCCTTGGTATTCAGGAGGAGGAAAATGCCACCTTCCTTTTCATTCATCTAGCGAATTATTCTACAAAGGTTTCTACTTAGAGATGGAACAATGGCCTTAAAAGCACCTTTTTTGGCCATGTTTACAGAGCATAAGCCTATAAGAAAATCTTTTCATTAGTTATATCAACTAATGTTTTTTTCCTCATCTTACCAAAGAGTACTGTGTGAAGTATTTCCTCTACCTAATGGACTACAAAAAATAATGCCCTGATTATCTTGGATGAAGGGAAGTATCACTACTATACTAGGTAGAGAGAAAATTAACCTAAGCCACACCACTCTACCCCTAAAGGAAGTGATTATAATAACTGTGACTTTTGCCTTTGGATCAATAGAAAAGGTGTGTCACTTCTATCTTTTATGGTAGCTGCTTGCTTAATCAAAATGCCTGTTCCTGTCCCACCTGCTGGGCAGGACAGAGCACCCACAGAAAGAAAGGTAACTGCGCAATCAGAGTATATATGGTGGTCAGAGACAGGCCCGTTAGGGCTGAACCACCAGTAACGGTTTTAAAATAGTACACAAATTCCCTGATACATTGCCTTTCAAGAGATGAAGCATAATTCCCCTTAAATGTTAGGACTAGCTTTAGTGACTCCCTTCTAATGAGTAAAATAAAGCAACTCTGAAAATGTTCACAAAAGGCACTGTGGTTTTCTAGTCTCTGTCATCACACACTCTGAGGGGATGTTAGCTGCCATGCTAGGGGGTTGCTCAAAGAGCATATGGAGAAGCCCTCAGAGTCCTGCCAACAGACTTGTGAGGGAGCCACCTTTGAGAGTAGATCCATGAGCCCTAGCCAAGACTTCAGATGAGTACACCCCAACAAACAGCTTGAATGAATTCTCAGGAAAGACTGAAACAGAAACCCTGCTAAGCTGCTCCATGATCCCTAATCCAAGGAAATTATGACATGAAAAGTGTTTTTCTAAGCCACTAGGTTTTGGGATAATTTATTACACAGGAATAGATATACTAAATGATGAAGTAGATATTACCCCATTTTTATAAATTGGGAAACTCAGTTTAAAGAAGTTATTTAGTGTCTAAAATTATACTGTTAGTAAATGGTAAAACTGGAATTCAATTCAGGGTTGTTATCACTCAAGAAACTATGCAATTTTGTACTTTACTATAGTGAGGGGAAAATAAATCAGCATAGGGTTGACAAAAATTGAAATATTTAATATGCATTACTGATAACTGCACAGTAAAATGCCCAAATGTTATTTTTACTTATAGATGTACCAGAAGTCTCTAGACCTGATGTGGGACTGATTTACCTGTCAGAATTTAACTACCTCATATAGTATAATGTATGGACCAGAATAGAGCTTTGGWTCTGGTCACTTTTAAAAAGCTCTATTACTCACCAATCAATTAATCTAAGGTTGATCATTTAAACTCTGAGTTTCAATATTTACTTTCATAAAAGGGAAATAATACCCACATATTTCACAGAGATCTTGTGGGGATTAAAGTATACCACTATACTAAGGTTAGAGCTCAGGATCAAAAAATAGAACTCAGATTTGAGCTATCAGGGAAAGGAAAGGCAAAGGCTTAGACTCCAGCATTATTAGGTCTAGGCAATCAAAAAGGTGCTGATTACTATGTGCTTTCCCCTCTTGATGACATAAACAGGATTTCTGTTGTGACTCTAACAGTTTAATCAGGTGAGATAYTGA